AGCTGGGACTACAGGCGCCCGCCACAGCGCCGGCCATTTTTTGTTTGCAGCCATCATTGTTGTTTGGCGGGCCCGGGCTGGGGATTCGAACCCGCCGCCTTAGGTGTATGTGGCTGGCGCCTTAGCCGCTTGAGCCACAGGCACCGAGCCAATTTATCTGTAACTTTTCACAGAATAAACATTTCATCACTTTCAGTGGATTGTAGAAACCTTATAATCTTATAGGTCCCTATGCTTTCCTACATTTATATTGTATTGCCATATATATTACACCATATACATTGAAAACCCCATCAGGCAATGTTGCCTGTTTTGCTTTCAACCATCAGATTAAAAATAGTCTATTATATATTTACCTAGCTATATATCACTTTTATGGCTTTCCTTTTAAGCCTCAAATTTCTAGTTTTCCTCGGTTATCATTTCTTTTCAGCCTAATTTCCTTTAGCCTTTATTTTACAAAATGTATGCTGGAGGGCTGGACACAGTGGCTCATGCCTGTAGTCCTAACATCTGAGAGGCTGAGGTAGGTGGATTGCCAGAGCAAGAACAAGACCTTTCTAAAAATAGTTGGGTGTTGTCACGGAGGCCTGCAGTCCCAGCTACTTGGGAGGCTGAAGCAAGAGGATCACTTGAGCCCAAGAATTTGAGGTTGTTGTGAGCTATGATGCCATTGCACTCTATACACTAAGTGAGACTCGTCTCAAAAAAAAAAAAAAAAAAGCGTGCTGGTGATGAATTCTCTTGGTTTTCCTTCCTCTGAGAATGTCTTTAGTTACCTCCATTCCTGAAGGATATTTTCACTGGATATAGAATTCCAGATTGACTGTTAATTCTTTCAGGACTTAAATTTTTTTCTTTCATTTTTTTATGGCCTTCATGGTTTCTGATGTGAAATCCACAGTCATTCTAATTCTTTTCACATGTATGTTATGCATAATTTTGTTCACCTAAATTTAAAATAGAGAAGGAGACTCTCTACATTAAATGATGTTTATTTGGGAATAGGCATTGCAATGAGACTACTGGTACCTTAACAAACTATGTATGTATTCAAGCAGGTAAAGGAAGACTGTTTTTCCTTTTTTTTTTTTTTTTCAGAAATAAGTTCTTGCTTTGTTGCCCAGGCTGGAATGCAGTGGCATGGTCATAGCTCACTCTAACCTTGAACTTCTGGGCTCAAGAAATCATCCTGTGTCAGCCTTCCAAGCAGTTAGGACTACAGCTATGCACTATTACTCCTGGCTTTAAGTTTAATTTAAAAATTTTGATTTTAAAATTTTGTGTAGAGGCTCGGCGCCTATAGCTCAACCGGC